AAAGCTGACGTTTCGGGCCTTGACCTTTCTTCAGAAATTCTAGGCCCAAAATGTCAGCTTTCCTGCTTCTCTGATGCTGCTTGGCCTGCTGTGTTCATCCAGCTCTACACCTTGTTATCTCAGACTCTGATGCTGCTTGGCCTGCTGTGTTCATCCAGCTCTACACCTTGTTATCATGGAACTGGGTTATAGGGCATTTGGCTTCATAGAGTGAACAGGGTTCAGTGGAGGATGACCAGCATCATTAATACATAAGGTACAGTCAGCATTTGCTCATTGCAGATAAACCTGCCTGTGAAACAGAAGACTATGAGTTTTAGCATTCTGGATATCTATGCTAATGTAAGTTTTGCTTAATTGAAGTACTGAGGGATTGCTGCACCGTTGTAGATGCTGTCTTTTGGATGAGACATTAAGTTGTTCCTTGTATTAGAATTGAGGGCCGTGAGGCGCTGACATAGAAGAGCAGTTGAATGGATCAGCCGTGATATTGTAGACTGGTGGTGCAGGCTTGAGGAAGTGAATAGCCTATTCCTGCTCCTATTTCCTATATTTATTTTATAACCCACCATGCATATCCCCTTTCCCCCTTCCAACCTACCTCTTTCTGTGTACATCCTGGGAAAAAGAACTCCACTTTCAAAATCCCAACTGTCTAGCTTTTCCTCTCTGTTTACCATAACATTTCTGCAGTTACTAATCTGCTCAACTGTAGCCTTACCTTTACCTTTACTCTCCATTAAAATACATTGGTCATTCTCCTGGTACAATCCTCAGATTATCCAATAAACTGCTTCCAATACTTCCTTCCTTTTACCTAGCCTACTATGTCAAAATTCATCTAATTTTCTCCTCTACCTTAACTGTGAACTTATATTTTTATTTAGCTTCTCTCCTATCTCCCCATTACCTTTTTGCTCAGTTTGCCCATGAGACCCATCTCCTGCTTCCTTGACTCTATTTCCACTTAACAGACCACCCAACTTCCCTTCCCAGTTTCCATGTTAACTGATATTGTTAATTATATTCCCTCATCAAGCACGATCTCCTTTTCATTCTACTCTATGATTATCACCACTGCTTCAAACATTCCACTGTTCTGGCAGATTGCTGTCCCATCTCCAACCTCTCTTCCTGTTCAAAGTCCTTTAACATGTTGTCACCTTCCAAGTCAATTCCCAACTTTTTTTGAGCTATATGTTTGGATCCTGCCAATCAGATTTCTGCCTCTGCCACAGTTTCAAAACAGATCTCACTAAAGCCACAAATGACAATCTTCATGACTGTTAACAAAGGCAACCAATTCCTACCGTTTCCTTCTCAATCTGTCTACAGCCTTTGACATGGCCAACCAAACCAACTTTCTCCAGTGCCTCTCTTAAAGTCATCTAGCTGGGTGGGACTGCTGTCATTTTGTTCCGTCTTTATCTATCCAATCATAGTATGAGTATCAGTTTCAATGGCTTCTCTTCCCCCTCCTGCACAAATACCTCTTGTGTCACCAAGGATCTATCCTTGACTGCCTTCTAAGTCTAATTTTGCCTTCAACGTGCTGCTCCTCATTGATAATGTCCAAAGTCAGAATGTCACTTTCCACATGTATGCTGATAGTGGCCAACGGTACTTTACCATGGTCTTTCCTGACCCCCATTCTGTCTTCAAGTTATCAGGCTGTTTGACATTCAGTGCTGGCTGAGTAAATATTTCCACCATCTAAGGTTATGGGAAAATTGAAACCACAGCCTTTGGTTCCTACCATAAATGTCTTTCATTAACCATTGATGTCATCCCTCTCTCACAGCTGTTTGAGGCTGAACCAAACTCAATTTGCTAACAATTAACATTTCCCTACTTCTTCGAAAGCAGGTGATGTTATTAGCCACAAGCAGGTGAGCTTCAGTGGGAAGGAAACAATTCCAAGAGTTTAACATCATTTTGAATGAAACATTTCATTATCTCAAAGTACTTACTCAAATGCATGACAAACACTATTGATCAATTGAGAAGAATTAATTCTAAATTACAAGCAACCTCCAAACCTTTGCAAAAGGTGTCTCTTCTGCTAAAGCTGCCAAGTGGCCATTGTATTAATCTATATAGTGGAACTATTTATTATGATAATACAAAAAGAACTATGTTGTTCATTTATTTAATTACAAAGTAATTACAAGGAATCAATTTTTTTGTCATCTATGTAATTGAAAAGATGTCAACCCTTGAAGCTAAAAGAATTCTGTGAAAGTGTAACAATTTTTTGTCTTCACTGTTACAGTCTAATGTCTTGTCCTGATGGTAGTAAAGTACATTACTTTGTACGTCCTTTAATGGGTATTTTTAAGCTTTATTCAAAACTAAGAACTATCTGAAAAGAGAGTGCCATCATTGATGCGGCCATTGTGTATTTAAATCAATAGGAGCAGTGAAACGGTAGCAACATCTTTAAATCATTGTAGAGACCTTAGGACAGTTGGTTTGTTCTCCAGTGAGTGTCAGGGACTTTAAAAAGAATAATCTTGTTAGATTCAGCAAATACAGCACTAGATTTGGAGATAAGAAATGAAGACGGGCATTAATAGTGGAACAGGTTTGTTCAACTGCTGCTGAAATGCAGTTTGAAAGACTGATGTGTTGTAGAAGGTCTGCTGCAAACTGATAGAGCTGGCTTTCAGACTTTAGGTTCAATAAGTCATTCTGATTGCAGATAGGCTTGAACTACAAATGCTTTGATTACTCGATGGCAGTCATCATGATTGCCGAACATTATATGTTCAACAGTAGAAATAACTTTCAAATTAACATAGTAATACTGTGTGAATAGTAAATTGAAACACTTGAGTATAATCCTAATTTTGCACTCGTGCAGTTGTGTTGATTTACGACTCAATTAGAGGCTGAGGGGCATGCCAATTTTGTGATGTCTCCCTAAGCAGACTACAACCCCAACAACATAAAAACAAACTAATAAAAGAGCAACTCGGCTTAGGAAAACAAATGGTGGCAAGGTGGTTGCAGCTTACCATGAAGTGGCAAGTTGCGATATGAAAGAAAACAAGACTAATTTTTAATGAACAATCCTTCCTTTGATCCTATTAATTTTGCAATAAAACTGCAGTTACTGTGCTCGAAGAGAATAGCTCTATTTGCTGCTGAGGGCCACCTTCTGGTTAATGCATAGGTGTCAGCTATATGAAGGAAAATGCCTGACAGAGGCAATTAAGTCATTCAAGCTCCTCATACATGACTGCAAATGAGAATGATTTGCTGCTATCAGAACTTCTTTGCATCTGCACAGTTTTCTTGTGAGTCACATTAACAATGCAACCAACTGAGAATGTCATATTGTCTTGGAGAGGATTACAAATGACTATTGCTCTTTTGTTCTCACTGTCATCTTACCTGGGAAATATGGCACACTTTTACTCAAGGTGGAAGAGGTATGAAATGAAAGGTGACCCTTCACTTTTAGGGGCTTTCTGAGATGAATAGAGATGCAGATGCAAAAAATTTTCTTTTTCTCCAAAGAGTTTCAACCAGTGTTTATTTATCTTCAAATAATGCTAGTGACTTGGAATCCCAGTCAATAAAGGTATTTGGCCTGGATCTTCCAATGAGTGACTGTCATTAACGGTATGGTACCGAACTCTGCTAGAAATTGCTCCAACTACAGGTTGCTCAGAATTTCTTGCCGAATCTCTGACCCCATATTTGTCAGCTTTGTTGAAACAGATGAGAGTTAGGATGAAGGCAGGACCAACTCTTTCTTTGTGGCATTAGCTGCTGGATAGTGATTTTAGAGGTGCAATTTGAATGTGAGTGAATGGGTGAGTAGATTATTGAGTCATAGAGTCACGGAGATGTACTGCACAGAAACAGACCCTTTGGTCCAACTTGTCCATGCTGACCAGACATCCTAAATTAATCTAGT